TTAATTGAAATGCACTAATATTTTTGTTTGTTTGAAATGTTTATAATAAATAAATATTCTATAAGTATTGAAATCCTTTAATGTTTATTTGATTTTTAATCATTTTTAAGCGATTTCAGCAGGTGGTCCACTAATGGATATAAATTTTTTCGTGTCAAAAAAAACATCACTTCAGAAGATTGATCTAAAAATTTTTCATTGAAACTGCAAAAAAAAATCTCAATTTATATAACTTATAGCTGAGGACAATATATATCCAACCGTATATTATAGTTTTTAAATTTCCTTCACTGAAAAAAATTATTTGAGTAAATAAAAAAGTGGTCCACTCATGGATATATTCTTCTAATAAATATTCCTTTGATTCAATAATAAAGTGAGGTTACAACGATTGAAAATATTTATTTTATTTTTGAAAATTTTTTGAAAAAAGGAATCTTTGTCGGGCTTATTGGACATGTATAAGTATATTGGATTACAGTAGAAGAACCGTGCGCGCGTAACATTCGGGGTCGTTCGTGTAAGGGGGCCTTTCACGCGCATTCACCGACCCCGTCAACAAGTGAATGACAAAAACAAGAGACATGTGGATGCTGAAAGACAGATGAGTGTGCACACAGTGGTTCGTTTGTCTCAGAGAGCAAAATTTAACATATTATCGTTATATATACGCGCAACTGCTACGCTTGGAGAGAAAACACCATAGGGTTCATACGATATCGATGTCGGCGATATAAGCTTTTTAAATTCAAAGAAGCTAAGGACCCCATACTTTTTTATTTTTCTTCTCCATTTCATTAAAAAAAAAATACACTCAGAAATCAGGAATTAAGTTTTTTCACTGTACTTTTATTCAAATTGATTCTATGAATTTTAAATATAAGAAAAAATTTCATCCATTTGCTTTTATATCAAAAAAAAATATATTCTAATATTTATTGTTATAATAAAAAATAATATTAACAAGAAAAGATAATAACTAAATTAAATTAATTAAATTAAACAGTTTTTGTAAAATAATTTTAAATTAACACGCGCTTTTTCAACCAATAAGGTAAGAATGACTATAGTTAATGCTTAGGATACGGGCGCACATCGAGTTTGCGTAAAACTATAACTTATAGACGTGGCCTGTTTCATAGAATGCGAAACAATCTTCGGAGTGTATTTTTAAAAAATACCGGAATATTATATCAAATCCGCTATTTGTTTACCAAAATTTATACATACATATAGACAGTAGCATGTGAGAGGATAGATCCTCGTAAGAAAGAGAAAGCTAGAGCCTAAAACCACAGGCTGTCTTTTTCTAAACTGCGCAAGTGCGCAAGCACGTAGTTCTATGCCAATAGAAAAATATTTATGAAATTTCAAGATGCAGTTACTTATCTGTCGCGCATGCGTGACACAAACGAGACAAAGATTATTAATTATTAATATATTATAATTATATATATTATAAATGTATTATATTTGTATATATTATATTTACAATATATTATAATTGTGATATTTAAGTTATCATTATTTTTTTAAGGAAAAAGTTTAATTTAAGGAATTATTTCAAGCACTTGGATAAAATAAAAATTATTCTTTTAATTTTTGTAAAATATATAGATATACAAATAAACTATAATTACAAATAACAGCTTTCAATAAATATAATATTTTTTATTATAATTATTCAAATTATTCTTTATTTTTATTGCATAAAGTGTACAAAAAAAATTAAATTAAATATTAGGGGAGGATGGGGCAAGGATAGTTAGTGGCTCTATTGCCTATACGGCTTTTTCAAAAAGGGCACCATTCATCATATATATACTTGTTTTAACACCAAAAGACGTCAAGAAAAATTTGATCTTGATGAGATATCATTTGTGGAAGCTACGTGTTTATTTGTGAAAATCCTGTTTTTTCTAAAATGTCTCAGTTCAGTTTCAAACACTGTTTTAGATATTAACTGTTTTAAATATTTATTTATTTCCAAAAAATTTTTTTGGTAGTTCTTTGAAGTGTTTTGAGGTGCTTTTAAACAATGAAATTAAAAAACCCCCAAATTTAATGTCTTTTTTTGATTATTTTTTGTAAAAAGAATTTTGATAACTATCCTTGCCCCAATAGTGGGGCAAGGATAGTTAAATTTTTTTTTAATTTTCCGCTAATATCTCGAAGGCATTGCAATCCACAGCAAAATAATGTATTACAAAATTGCAGCTATATAAACAGGCTTTCGAACGATACTATTCTTTTTCCGATGCCTATTGAATTTTAGCTGCTAGATCTAAAAATGTCTTACCTACAACTATCCTTACCCCATCCTCCCTTTTAACTTTCAATAAATGTAATAATTTTTCAATTTCATTATATCTTAATTAGAACTCAAACTTACAGTATGAAAGAAACAAATATTTCAGGTAATATTATTATATATAATATAATTACATTATTCAGGTATAAAATGGCAACTAATACAATAGGGTGTCATAAATGGTTTATTATAAATAGACTTCCAGTCGACTCTATTGTTGTTATTTCCCCCTCCCACCTTATTTTTTTGCAGCATTTAAAAAAATATATTAAATAGAAAATAATTAAAATGTGTCTTTTATCATTTATTTTCATGTCTAAAAAATGTAGAAAAAATGACTTGTAAAACATTACTTTAAAAAAAATTTTATTATCATCTAAAAATATTGAGATATAGTTTCGACAACATCCCCACGCTGATTTAGTAAATTGGTAAATTTGGTATACTAACGTACTTTTTTAAGCTGATTATATAAATTATATTAAATTTTTTTTGAAATTGTGCGTTTTTTAAAATTTAATTGCAAAAAACCTTGATTTTATGGTGTTTTTAAAATGGTTTTCACCAGGATAATCAAATTTGCACCATTTCTCACTATCGTTTTCGTAATCATCGCATTAAAATACGTTAGTATATCAAATTTTATTAAAATTGGAAATTCCTGTTTTGACAAAGGACTCCCAAAAAAAATTAAATTAAATTAAATATTACAACTTTCAGTAAATAAAATATTTTTTTAATTTTATTATATATCTAAATTTGAACTCAAACTTACAGTATGAAAGAAATAAATATTTCAAGAAATATTACTATATATAATTTAATTTCATTATTCAGGTATAAAAGGGCAACTAATACAATAGGGTGTCATAAATGGTTTATTATGACTAGACTGCCAGTCGTCTCTATTGTCGTTATGTCCCCTTCCCTCCTTACTTTTCTTTTGGAAAATTTTGATAAAATATATTTTCGTACAAAAATAAATTAAAAAATATTTTTATCATTTTTTCTCACATCTAATAAATAAAAAAATAAGCAGAAAAAATGACACTACCATACGCAAATGTATATGTGATATGAGGAAGTAGATGTCAAAAAATGTAAAACAAAATATACATGTGAGAATATTTTATGAACGGACACTATATTATAATTATGTTTTTTATATTTAAGTATATTTAATAAAAATTATTTAAATAATTTTGCGCTTTTATAGCAGTATTTTATTGAAGTCTATTTTATTATATAATCTTAAAATTATTTCCGATAAATTATTATAAATATATATTGGGAATTAAAAATTATTATTTTATTGTAAATAACAATTTTAAGAAGTCAAAAATAATAATATTTATATTATTTGTTTAATTTGCAGAAATTTTTACAGAAGAAAGAAGGATTCCGACAACAACATCAATGGCCAATGTTGAAAATTATTGTATAACATCGTCGAAAAGAAATTATCTATAAATTATTAATAATTATAATTTTGAAAATCGGAGAATTCAAATTTAAATGGATCGCGCGCCTTTTCCAACAAATCAACGCCTGGTGTTCTGTATTACGTCAAGCGCGCCAATTCCAGTAGAAAAACATTTCCAGCCAATCAGAGGACAGCGTTCATAGCGAATAGTGTCTTCCACCACCTCCAACGTCGCGCGCCACTTCGCAAAATTGTCAACCAATCAACGCCCGGCGTTGTCAACGGAAATCTCTAGCGACATTTTTCGCGTCTTCAAGCATTTAGTCCGCCATTAGCCACGTGCCTGCATCGTCCTCATTGTGTGAAGACGAGGTTCCGGAATTTCGGTGAGTTTTCCTCAATTACTTTTCCTAAATACCACCCCCTTTTCCAGGAAGTTAACCATATTAAGTTCCTTTTTTAATCTGTTAACTTCCAGTTAAATTTCATGCATGTCTATATATTTCCCATTTTTTTCTTTCCTTTGTTAATTTTCTAGTACTTATCAATTATTTACTAGAAAAATGCAAAGGATTTTTTTTAATATTAATGTGCAAGTTTTAAAGATTGTAGTTTAAAATTTTTTAAAATATCTAATTAAATTACTTTAAATAATTACATTTGAATTTCCCAAAAAATAAAGTAATAAATTTCTTGAATATGGGACATTCTACTTAAAGCGAACAATCCCTTCTTGTTTCTTTTTAATATTATTACTTTTAAATATTATTATTTTATTAAAAAATCATTGAATATGTTTTTCTTTGTTTGATGGATTTTTAATAAAATAATAATATTTAAAAGTAATAATATTAAAAAGAAACAAGAAGGCGGTTGTCCGCTTTATCTAGAAAGCTCCAAATTTTATTAGCTAAGTTTAATATATATATATTTAATATTTATTTATATATAATATATTGTTACATTACTTATTTAACTGAAATTTTTGTATGAATATTATTCATTAGAAAATTTTTTAAAAATCATAAAAATTTGGATAATAAAATGATGTTTTTTTGTTTGTTTGGCCAATTGGCTTTGTAATATCTATTTAAAAGATATTTGAGACCTGGTCAGTTAAAAGGGATATTACGTCCGAAAAAATCAATTTTTTATTGATTGGTGATTCTGATAGAGAAAAATATTTTTTATAAGAATTACCAATCAATAAAAAATTGACTTTTTTTGGACGTAATATCCCTTTTAATTGTCCAGATCGTCTTTAGCAAAAAATATTTATTTAATATTTATTAAAAATTTCATCATTTTAAGAAACAATGCAAACAAACAAAAAAACATCTTTTTATTATTATTACTATGAATTATTATTATTTTTTGTTGTTTTTATTACTACTTATTTATTTGTTTAAATTTATTTAATAAAAGAGGATAAATATATTCAATTATTTATTAATTTACTTGTTTATTTATTTGATTGATGTATTTTTTGTAAATTATTAAACAATCATCTGAAAAGTGGAAAAAATCTTTTGAGATGCAATTGTTATCATTGGTTGTTACAAATGTTTGGTGACTTCAAAAACCCCTTTCACAGCATACTTATTGTATCTATATGTTTATTACATTTTTATTGTTATTGTGTCGATATTGTTGTTAATAAGCTTTGTTTTTACTATTTCAGTAGAAAATTATTTAAAAATATATAAGAATACTGCAAAGTTCAGAATGTTGAGTTGCGAGGATTAGTAAAGGTTTTATAATTACTAAAATGTCGGACTTGTTTAAATTTATTGTGCAAAAGTTCACCAAAAATATAATCAGTGCGGACATTTTAATATTTATACAACTTTTGACTAAACCTTGTAACTTAATATTACGTAGCCTGAAGTTAAAGATTACAAATAAATATCAAATTTAAAATATAATTTTGATGTCTTGATTAGGAGTGTAATTGGACTGTCTCAATAATTTACTTATATTGTATAAATATTTTTATTTATTATCATCAATTCTTAATACAATAGTAACTTAAAATTAATTAATAACAATAATCGCATAATAAATAAAACTGTAATATACATAAATATACAAAATATTTCAATGAAAAAATTAAATTCCAGCTCCGTTTGTAATGACCAGTAAAAACACTTGTACCTTTACAGAATGATTTTATTTCCTCTTCAGATGGTTGACTACTAATCTGGAAATAAACATAACATCAATGAAATAAATAAACAAACAATTTTTAATTAATTATAACTAAGTAAGCGATAGTAAATAAATAAGTAGTAAGAGTAGCAGCAAAATAATAATAAAATACTCCTTAATATTCATACAAAAATATCAAAGTAAATAATGTAAGAATTATTAAATGTTATAAGTAAATGTTAAAAAAAATATATAATTAAACTTGTTTATTGAGGAAATTCAAATGTAAATAAACATTTAAAGTAATTTGAACAGATACTTTAAAAGAAAAATTTAAAACTGTAAACAATCTTTAAAACTTAAGACATTAATATTGCAGAAAGAATCCCTTGCATTTTTAAAGTAAATAAACAATGATAAGTAGTAGAAAGTAAACAAAGAAAAGAAAAAAGAGGAAGGAGATATATAGACATCCGTGGAAGGTAACTGGAAGTAGCAGAATTAAAATCGGGACAGACCATGGTTGACAACCCTGAGAAAAGGGGGACGGTACGAGGGAAAGTAAGAGGAAAACTTCACCGAGAAGAAGGAAGGGGACACGTGAAGGAGGGAGGCACGTGGATGATGAACAATTGAACCGGATAGACGAAATGATGAAAAAATTTATATATATATTATCTTAAGGTCTGTTCTATGTATTCATTCTTTGTCCTCTTCATTATCCACGTGCCTCCTTCCTTCACGTGTCCCCTTCCTTCTTCTCGGTGAAGTTTTCCTCTTACTTTCCCTCGTACCGTCCCCCTTTTCTCAGGGTTGTCAACCATGGTCTGTCCCGATTTTAATTCTGCTACTTCCAGTTACCTTCCACGGATGTCTATATATCTCCTTCCTCTTTTTTCTTTTCTTTGTTTACTTTCTACTACTTATCATTGTTTATTTACTTTAAAAATGCAAGGGATTCTTTCTGCAATATTAATGTCTTAAGTTTTAAAGATTGTTTACAGTTTTAAATTTTTCTTTTAAAGTATCTGTTCAAATTACTTTAAATGTTTATTTACATTTGAATTTCCTCAATAAACAAGTTTAATTATATATTTTTTTTAACATTTACTTATAACATTTAATAATTCTTACATTATTTACTTTGATATTTTTGTATGAATATTAAGAAGTATTTTATTACTATTTCATTGCTATTTTTACTATTTAAATTTTATTTCTTTAAATTCATTTATTATAAAAGATGAGAGACAAGGATAACTTATATGCATTGTTTTTGAAAAAAATTAATTATTATATTGTTGTTCTGTTTATTTTTAGATTACTACTCAACCATCTAAAGAGGAATAAAAATCATTTTTCGAAGAAGCAAGTGTTCTTATTGGTCTTTACAAACGGAGCGGCCATTTGAAAACTTTTTCGTCAAAATATTTTGTATATTTATGTATATTATAATTTTATGACTTCTGCGATTAATATTGTTATTAATTAATTTTAAGTTACTGCTGTATTATAATTGTTAAACAAAAAATAAAAATATTTTTAAAATATAAGTATATTATTGAAACAACCCTATCATACTCCTACATAAAACACCATCAAAATTATATTTTAATTCTTTTTAGTTAAAGTAAAATTTAAAAATAACAATATTGGCACAGTAATAATAATAATATAATAAACATAAAAATGCAAAAAAAATGCTGTAAAAAAAGTTTTTGAATTCACCAAACATTTGCAACCACCAATGATAACAATTGCATCTTAAAAGAAATTTTTTTCCTCTTTTCAGATGATTGTTAATTGGTTCATAAAAAAAACAATACAATAATTAAATAAATTCATATATAATTGCATAAAATTATCCTGTTCATTACTTCTTTTATTAAATAAATTTAAACAAATAAATAAGTAGTAATAAAAAAAACAAAAAATAATAATAATTCATAGTAATAATAATAAAAAGATGTTTTTTTGTTTGTTTGCATTGTTTCTTAAAATGATGAAATTTTTAATAAATATTAAATAAATAAATATTTTTTACTAAAAACGATCTGGACAATTAAAAGGGATATTACGTCCAAAAAAATCAATTTTTTATTGATTGGTGATTCTTATAGAAAATATTTTTCTCTATCAGAATCACCAATCAATAAAAAATTGATTTTTTCGGACGTAATATCCCTTTTAACTGACCAGGTCTCAAATATCTTTTAAATAGATATTACAAAGCCAATTGGCCAAACAAACAAAAATACATCATTTTATTATCAAAATTTTTATGATTTTTAAAAAATTTTCTAATGAATAATATTCATACAAAAATTTCAGTTAAATAAATAATGTAACAATATATTATATATAAATAAATATTAAATATATATATTAAACTTATCTAATAACATTTGGGGCTTTCTAGATAAAGCGGACAACCCCCTTCTTGTTTCTTTTTAATATTATTACTTTTAAATATTATTATTTTATTAAAAATCCATCAAACAAAGAAAAATATATTCAATGATTTTTTAATAAAATAATAATATTTAAAAGTAATAATATTAAAAAGAAACAAGAAGGGATTGTTCGCTTTAAGTAGAATGTCCCATATTCAAGAAATTTATTACTTTATTTTTTGGGAAATTCAAATGTAATTATTTAAAGTAATTTAATTAGATATTTTAAAAAATTTTAAACTACAATCTTTAAAACTTGCACATTAATATTAAAAAAAATCCTTTGCATTTTTCTAGTAAATAATTGATAAGTACTAGAAAATTAACAAAGGAAAGAAAAAAATGGGAAATATATAGACATGCATGAAATTTAACTGGAAGTTAACAGATTAAAAAAGGAACTTAATATGGTTAACTTCCTGGAAAAGGGGGTGGTATTTAGGAAAAGTAATTGAGGAAAACTCACCGAAATTCCGGAACCTCGTCTTCACACAATGAGGACGATGCAGGCACGTGGCTAATGGCGGACTAAATGCTTGAAGACGCGAAAAATGTCGCTGGAGATTTCTGTTGACAACGCCGGGCGTTGATTGGTTGACAATTTTGCGAAGTGGCGCGCGACGTTGGAGGTGGTGGAAGACACTATTCGCTATGAACGCTGTCCTCTGATTGGCTGGAAATGTTTTTCTACTGGAATTGGCGCGCTTGACGTAATACAGAACACCAGGCGTTGATTTGTTGGAAAAGGCGCGCGATCCATTTAAATTTGAATTTTCCGTTTTTAAAAATTATAATTATTAATAATTTATAGATAATTTCTTTTCCACGATGTTATACAATAATTTTCAAGACTGTCCCTTGATGTTGTTGTCGGAATCCTTCTTTCTTCTTTAAAAATTTCTGCAAATTAAACAAATAATATAAAAATTATTATTTTTGACTCTTTAAAATTGTTATTTACAATAAAATAATAATTTTTAATTCCCAATATATATTTATAATAATTTATCGGAAATAATTTTAGGTTTATATAATAAAATAGACTTCAATAAAATACTGCTATAAAAGCGCAAAATTATTTAAATAATTTTTATTAAATATGCTTAAATATAAAAAACATAATTATAATATAGTGTCCGTTCATAAAATATTCTCACATATATTTTGTTTTACATTTTTTGACATCTACTTCCTCATATCACATATACATTTGCGTATGGTAGTGTCATTTTTTCTGCTTATTTTTTTATTTATTAGATGTGAGAAAAATTTAGAAAAATATTTTTAAATTTATTTTTGTACGAAAATATATTTTATCAAAATTTTCCAAAAGAAAAGTAAGGAGGGAAGGGGACATAACGACAATAGAGACGACTGGCAGTCTAGTCATAATAAACCATTTATGACACCCTATTGTATTAGTTGCCCTTTTATACCTGAATAATGAAATTATATTATATATAGTAATATTACTTGAAATATTTATTTCTTTCATACTGTAAGTTTGAGTTCAAATTTAGATATATAATAAAATTGAAAAAATATTTTATTTATTGAAAGTTGTAATATTTAATTTAATTTAATTTTTTTGGGAGTACTTTTTCAAAACAGGAATTTCCAATTTTAATAAAATTTGATATACTAACGTATTTTAATGCGATGATTTCGAAAACGATATTGAAAAATGGTGCAAATTTGATTATCCTGGTGAAAAAACCATTCAAAAAACATTATAAAATCACGGTTTTTGCAATTAACTTTTAAAAATCGCACAATTTCAAAAAAAATTTTGATATAATTTTTATAATCTGCTCAAAAAAGTACGTTAGTATTACCAAATTTACCAATTTACTAAATCAGCGTGGAGATGTTGTCGAAACTATATCCCAATATTTTTAGATGATAATAAAATTTTTTTTTAATGCGAGGGGCTGTTCACTCTCGAATACCCGATTTGTCATAAGAAAATGTAAATTTCTTGATTCGAATCTTAACGAATCTCGTCGATTCTAGTAAAATCCTAAGTCATGCAGTAAGAATTGTTGCGAGTCACGAATGGTTACGGAAACATACGAGCGAATTCGGCGGCAATTAAGCGCGAGGTATAGTCAATGGCTCAAATACTACCGAATTATACAATTAATCTATTTTTCTTGCAATTAACTCTCAATTACTTCAAATAAAATGAAAGCACTATTTCCCTTAATTTCAAAATAGGAATTACGAAAATGACTAGCAATCCTTAAAAATCTTTAATGAATTCTCAAATATTGTTCAATTGGATTTTCAGTGAACATCAGCCCCTCGTTTTAATGTAATGTTTTGCAAGTTTTTTTGTATACGTTAAACGGAAGTGATAGAAAAAAATTGCCAGCTTGAACAAATTGTAAGAGTTAATTAAGAGGCAATTTAGGATTTGACATTAGCATAGATAGTTTTTTGACTGTATAGAATCAATAATGGCCGGTGTATGGTTATGAATCACTGACAGTCTTGGATTAAGAGGCGGGCGACCCTATATATATGCCGGATGCGTGCAATTCGTGGCACGCGAATGCTAAACATGTGCTACCGACAGATAAGAGAAATTATCTCTTTAAAAAAAGAAAAAAAAACCATTATGATGTTGGATGCCATCGTACTTAGAGAAATAAAAAGTAAATAAATAGGTTTTGAATTTAAAAAAGAACCTAAGCAATAAATGAAGTAAGATTTTGAAATATTTTTTTAAGACAACCAAAATTTGGTTACAACAAAGAAAATTGCCTATAACTAAACGCTATTGTTTTTATTTTTAAAAAATTTTGTATTTGCAACAAAATCGTTTGGTTAGGCAATTTTGGTTGTCGTAACCAAATTTTGATTGACATTTGGTTAGGCCAACAAAATTATTTGGTTAAACACTTTTAAATTTTAACCGAAATTTGATTACGACAATAAACTAATTTGGTTAACACAACAAAATTGTTTGATCTACAAAATCAAATGATCGTTTGTTGCCCCAATCAAAAATTGGTTACGACAACCAAAAGTATACCAACAAAATTTGGATTGCTGAGACGATAAATTTTTCTCAATATAATATTGTACTGAAAATGAATCATCGTCTCTCGAATGCAATTGATTTTAGAATAGAAAATTCATATTTTATTGAAAGGAAAGTTGGATTTTTCGGTTGAATATTTAATTGGCGTCGTTTTTTTTTTTTTTTTTTTTTTTGCATGAAGCCAAAAAGAAAAGTTAAGTTGTGCAAAGTTATTAAAATTTAATTTCGTCGAAATTTTCTGAAAAATCCGTAAGGCTTCGCCTAATGGATCAAAATGCAGTGCTTAACTTCAAAGAGAGCGGGAGAATCTTGGCGTAATCTCCAGTAATCCTGAACACTTTCAAAGGAAGGGGGAATTACTTTGCTTCTTCTCTTCCAAGTTCGTCCGATAATCGAGGGAGACTCGTCCGGGCTGCAAAAACGGACGGGTTCCATAATTGATTTTGTTCCCCGGAAGTTGGCATGCACTCCAACGTCGTACGTGCAAGACGGAGAGAAAGAATGAGGGAGAGAAAGAGAAAGAGGGATCGTGGTAACGCCAAAGTTATACTGGAGAGAGCACACAGAGAGAGGGAGAGAGAAAACTAGCTTCAAGCCCGTTAAAACTTCGCTTCACGATGCCTTTCCGCAGTCTGGAAAATCACCGGAAGTTTCAAGCGATTGCCAAGCCTCTTCCACCTTTTTTTTCTTCTATACCTATATAGTATTCCCTTTCCCGAGGGATTACTATGAAATCTCAAAATATTTCCACGATTCTCGCACCGTTCATTTAACTCGCGACAATTGACATTGAAATTATATTGTATTTTTAATTAAAAATATTTTTCAATTAAAAATTGGAGGCATGATTATGTTCTAGAAATTATTAATTATAGAACTTTTATTTTATGGAATTTCATTTGTCTTAATTATTTTTGAGCCGAATTTTTATTTGTTCGAATTATTATTTTGCAGAATTTTCATCAAAACAATTTTCTATATTACACAATTTTTATATAATCGAAAATTCACTTCACACAATTTTTATTTGTTCGAATTTTTATTTGCTCGAATTTTCATTTAACATAATAGGCATTTTAAAGAATTTTTATTGGGTAGAATTTTCTTTCAAATGAATTTTCATATGTTCGAATTATTATTTGATATAATTTCCATATAACCGATTTTTCATATACTACAGAATTTTTAACTTAAAACCGAAAAATCATCCAACAGAATTTCTAATTGATAAAATTTTCATTTGTCCGAAATTGCAAATGGCCGTACAAACAATCGACAGAAAGATTTCGGCGCGATTTTTAAAATCAATCAATCAAAAATTATCCATAAAATTGTGATTGCTTGATTTTAAAAATCGCGCCAAAATCGATTGTTTGTTCGGGCATTTGCAATTTCGGACAAATGAAAATTCTATCAATTAGAAATTCTCTTGAATGATTTTTCGGTTAAGTATAAAAAATTCTGTAGTATGAAAAATCGGTTATATGGAAATTATATCAAATAATAATTCGAACAAATGAAAATTCATCTGAAAGAAAATTCTACCAAATGAAAAATTCTTTAAAATCTAATTATATTAATTAATTGTTTTAAATTTCATTTCTAAAATTGCATCCTCAGTTGAAAATTGTTATATACAAAAAAAAAAAAAAAAAAATTCAAATTGTCATAAAATATTGACATGAGAAAAAATGTTATGTTAAAATATATAAAGTTTGTTTTAGGTTGTTTCATCGCGAATACATATCGAACATGTCCCATCTGTTGCTGTCGTGTGGGCGTATTCCGAGCGTTAGAGGCGTATAATTCTTATTATAAAATTCTTGCATAAATCTTTGAAACAATAAACTGATGAAAGGCACGACTCGCATTAATAGTCATATATCCCGCATATGCAAAGCTCACGGATCACTTCACATGCAAACATTGTATTTGTTTGTCAAACAATTGTAATATTTATTATATACATGCATTTAATAAAAGTTTTTGAAAAATTGAAAAAAATCTATGATTTACAATTTATAATTGTTAAAAGAAAGAGTCGGTATCATAAATATATACAAAGTATTTAAAAAAAATAAACGAAAAATAAATATTGTTATTTTTACATTTCATGTTTTTACTTCTGTTAAAACAAATTATCGTAAACATCAATATATACGCTAAAACTATTTTTAAGTGAATTCGACAAATTTTGAAAAAATGTTCCGCCATATTGGATTCGCCATTTTGAATTTTAAAAATCTCCTAATTGTACAGTAGTTTAATTCTAAATTTGGGTTTACATTTTTATTATTGTATAGAGTTCACATGATACACTGTAAAAAATTTTTTGGTTAAAATTCCCCAAAAGTCTAGTGACGCAAATTTGCAGTGCATTTTGTGGAAAATTCCCTAAAATTTTCTGGGGAAACTTTTCCCTAAAATTTTAGGGAATATTCCACAAATATTAGTGAATTTTCCCAAAAATTAATATCAATAGTTTAAAAAATTGAAATAAAAATTTAAAAATTTGATTCATGTAGCATTTATATCTTAATTACATTATTTATTGGTACCTATTGTTGAAAATTTGTTTTCTTGAAAATTATCAAATATTATCATGAGGTCTCGAACGTAAGCGTCATTAGGAGAGATTTAGAAGTCTAACGCTTTACTAACTACGCCACGGAGGCTCATGAAAATAAAATTATAATTTCAATATATAAGATAAAACTATGTAAACATGCTTTGTAACTTTAAAAAAAGGAAACAAACGTTGAAAATAGTTGTGACTTATGTTATATAATAAATAAAATAAGATCTGTTAAACAAATATTGATTAAATTTTAATTTAATTCTTTAGAAATATAAA